ATGCATTGTAATATTGTTTTTTTATCATTGTACATTCCATGAAAAATAAAAACAAAATTTATATGCAAATTTTAAATACTATGTATTAATTCTAAAAAGTAAACAGTAAAATTGAATGCAATTATAATACTTGAAAGGTAACTACTTAGTAATGATTATAGAACCATTATATTACGGAAGCTATTATTAATTATATATCTATTATAAAATTATGAAAATATTATTAAAATATAAATTAAAATAATTTAATAGTAATAAAAATAATAAAATTGGTTCAAATTAATGAAATTCTTCTCTAATATTTTTAGGTTGTTTTTATTGTTAATAATGTTTTTAATTATGACCAAGTATATATTTTGAATATTATGATTTAAATATAATATAAAATGAAGCAATATTTATAATTGTAATAATAACGATAAAAATATTTAAAAATTGAAATTATTCAATATCTAATGTTTATAAAATTTAATAGTTATTTGAAATTAAATTATGTGTATTCAGCTGCCAATCTGCAATCGTTATGTAATTTCTTGACTGTACAGTATGAGAAGTGAAAAAAGGTTGTAAACATTTTTTATATGTAATAATAGAATATATATATAATAGATTTATTTAATATTTTCATGACATTCAAATTAGTGTTAAGGTATTGTACATTTTATAAATTCAAAAGTTTTTGAAAGCTAATGAATTTTGTTGCTGGAATTATTTTTTTAAGTAATTTTTTTTATTTTTTACGCGTATTAAAATTTCATACAATTATAATTATACAATATTCAGGCCTTTAAAAGTCATTATTCTGGAAGAATCAGCAAGTATTTTTAAACTTGAAATTGTTCATTAATGAAAATTATAATAATACTTCCAGGTTCAACTATTATAGGTTACTAAAATGTAAATCATATAATATATGCAAATAAGAAAACAACCTATTTGATATGATAAATGAATAATAATAAACGTGATTAATAACATTAGATTTGAAGAAAAACAGAAAATTAATATATTCATAAGTATTAAATGTGTTTGCGCGTGAGCGGGCGTGTGTTATGTACGTGCGAGCGTGCGAACGTGCGCGTGTGAATATGAAATTGTTGCTTTTACACATATGAAATGTCTTTACACATTGTTGTCCTAATCAAGGAATTCCATAAAACTTATAAGATTAAATTCATTTAATTGTTGAACATATCATTAATATTGAACACTACAAATTCAAATAAATTGCTCTTTAGAAAAGTATCTATTAACATAGTCAATTAACGTTTTATGTAATTCCTCCATAATTTAAACTTAATAAGGTCTTCTTATATAAAAAGAGACAAAAACGATTTATTTTTATTTATATTTAAAACTTAAAAGAATTCTAATATTTTAAATTTCATATAGACAGTATATTTAATTGAAAGTGATCTAATCAAATTGTCTAGATTAATATTTATTTACTCAATTAGTTGATTCATTCAACATTTGTTTTTTTTATTTCACATATGTTAAAAACAGGTAGGTAGTCGAATTTTTTTTCGAAAAATTGCTTAATAATTACAAGAATATTTTTTGTCATCCAATCATTAACATGGTTATTTATAATAAAAGTTGTAGAAACTCTAATTTTTAACCTATTTATTTGAAAATTTAAACCTTTTTAAAACTAATTAATTGTAGATTTTCAATGCAATATGCTCAGCATATGTGAACGAAATCAGAAAGATATTAAACTTAGAGCAGTTTGTACGATTAAGTTGAACTTTAAAGTTGAACACTGTCCTATGTATTTATTTTACTATACTTCATCTTTTTAAACTAAATTTTAAACTGTAATTTTTACACTCTACTATAATTTTTGCATTTTATATTTTCCATTCATTCCAGTTTAATCATGAAACAATATACAAAAATAAAGTATTGTATCATACATATTAAATATTTTATACTTATAATACCATAAGTAGAAACAAAATAATAATGTAAAGTAAAATAAAATTTTATTTTATTGCATTCGTAAGCATTCGATATAGCATAATAAAATTCTGTAGATATTAAAATTTTCTAAAATATCTGAATTAGAAAACAAATGATAAATAGATATAATATTTTAACATATATTGAAATCACCAATCCAATTTATACTTAAAAGATGCAGACATACTTATATTTTAAAATAGTTAAGTTTTTCATTCAACATTTTGAGATAGACAGTTACAGTGATTTATTTAAAATTTTTAGTAACTTTAGCTTATTTTTAAAGATATATGTCATTAAATTATGCTTTTAATTAAGTTTTATATTCAATTAATTTATAATTTTCAAAACATAATCAATTATAAAAAAAAATGATTAAAAATAATAAATAAAAAAAACATAGTATTCGTTACAAAATTAATTTTTTATGCAATTAAATTATAAAATTTATTTAATAACGGTTAAATCTTTTCTATTAAATAAGGCGATCTACAAACAATATTCTACAATTATTCATTCCGAATAAAAATTTTTAAATTAGGATTTTTCAGAGATATACAATATTACAATTAAAATTATTCCAAATTGTTAACTACAAATAAACTCAAAGCAGAATATAGTATTAAAAACTATTGTAAACTATTATATGAACTTCATATAAATGTAATCTATAAAATAAAATTTGATTGTAAATATTCTAAGTTATCTGAACACTATTTTACTAAGAATATTCCCTCTATATTAGTTGTAACTTACTATTAACAATATTGTACCATTTCAGAACAGAAAAATGATAACACTATGATTAATTTTAATAATAGAGAGATAGAGACATTAACTAACAATGAAAATAACTCATTAAAAATCGGATAACATACATTTTTATTTATTTTCTAAAATATCTAACATAAATATTTGTAGAAAACAATTTTTCAATGTTTTTAAATATATTATTACTTAATTGATTATTATACTTTTTATATATTTTCCAAAATAAATAATAAATTGTCAATATTTAATTTCATAATTTAAATAAGACAAAAGATTTTATCATTTTTCAAAATTAATAAAATAGTTGTTAACTTAATCATCGTTACAAATTAGTTTAATTGTATATTAAAATTTTAATATATTTTGTTTTTAATAATGCTAGATCTATTATCCATCAAATTATAAAAATTTTCATAAAAAATTTCATCAGAAAATCAAAATTAATATTTTATAACAGAATATTCGATCACAATTTTTTTTTTAAATTTCTGTTGTTATTGTTATTTATAAGAAACTCTAGATATTTAATACTAAGTGTTTTATAAAATATTCCGAAAATACGAAAATTCTTTATTTTATAAAATTAAATATTTTACAAACTTATTTATTCTATTCTAATTATTTAAATATATATTTGATAAAATAATAATAACAAAATTAACAAAAATGTTTATATACATTTCGATAAAATTTGAATGTGAGTTCAATTAATTTTCTAAATAAAATATACTAACAATATATATTCAATGATTTATATTTATTTAAAAAAAATTTTAATACTTTCATTCAATACATAATGATATTAGTTTTTGTATTTCTATAAAAAAAAGTAGGGTTCTTTAGTATAACAGTAATTGAATATAAAGAAGCATAAATAAAAATTAATAATATTTAATATTGAATAATACACAAAAAAATTTTATTTAAACTATAAATTTTTTTTAAATATGTGCTATATAAATTAATATAAGTATTAGTTATAAATAGTATCAAATTGTAGAATATTTTAGTATTTAAGAAAACCTAAACATTCTCAAATTTAATTAAAGCAAATAGAAAATAAAAAATAAATTAAAGATAATTAAATATACGTTAGAATAAATAACATTATTTTCAAAGTAAGATATAATTATAAATAATATTTTTTAATATTTAAAGAAATATTTCAAAATGAGATGACTTGAATATAAAAATGAAATAACTTTAACAGTTTTTAAAAGTATTTTCAATAATACTTTTAAAATATTTTTTCTTATATTTGTGTTTAATATAAATGTTATATTCAAAGGCTTAAGTGTTATTTTTTAAATATTCATGTATGTTACTATTTATTTTATTTTAAATATTAAAATATATGAATTGTATATTCATGAGTCACATAAAGAGTTACAAAAATTAAGACATAATATTTTTTAAAAAATTCTTACATTTACAAGTATACTAATAAGTACATTTTACATTGATCAATTTCACCGATACGCTTGTGTTTATATTGAAACTGCTAAAAAAGTATTAAATATAATTATTATAATATCAAATTATAATATTTTCATAAATCTTTTTTCAATTTGTGTTATATTATTATAAAGAAATTATAATTGAAATATTGTATATAAATTAATTTAAAATTTTTTTATTGTATTATAAAATTATATTTTTATACATACAAAATTATTATAAATACAAAAAATATAATTAGGTAAAATACATTTTACATAAATAACATTTGTATTATTTCTACTAGTGTGTTCAATATTTAGTATTAGCATTATTAAACATTATGTGACATACTTATGAAGATTTTATTTTAGAAAATCAATATTATTTTAAATAAACGTATAAACTAAATACGTTAAAACGAGAGGAAACATGAATAGTTCATAACGCTTATTTGATAAAAAATTCTATTAATAATACGTAACTATTTTAAAAGTTGTAATTTTGGTAAGCTTTTGTTTTCAAGACGGGGCTATGAGAAATTAAAATATCTTAAATTCAACTATTAAACAATTTCTATAATAGAAACATGTACAATTCGCGAATAAAATAAAAGATTGCGCTTGTATCGTAGAAATGAAATCGCATAGTGCTATTGTGTACAACACCGAGCCAATAAATTCAAATCAGTCTTTATAAACTCTGGTCCCCCACCCTTTCAATCTTTCACTCATAGGCCCCACCCTTCAACATTCTCCACTCATACGGATGAAGCGGCGCTGCCACCCACCCAATGACGTCAGAATCCCAAGAAATCGGAGGAGAGTGGGTGCGTAAAGCGTCGGAACAGTGACGATCGGTGGTCGACCGGCAGTCCTTTACGCGTTTGAGATTGCGAATACCGATGATCAGACGTTTAACCTCTAGTTATGAGCCGGCGCCGCTTCTTCTTACTGCTTGTGTTCGCACTTGGCCTCTGCCTTGGACTTTTCCTCTATGCGAATCTTAGTAGCTTTAGCTCTCTTGCGGCATACGCTCTTACTCAAGGTGGTCTTCCACCTAAGACAATCCTCTACTGGAACAGTTTCTTCGGTGAGGAGGATTTCTATCTCGGCGATGGACAACTCGCACGTGATTGTCCACGATTCAACAATTGCTTTGCAGTTCATAGTCGACTATTGCATGGTGTCCACGACTTCGATGCAGTTGTTTTCCATGGAATTAGCGGACAACTAGACTACGCGGACCTACCACTTCGGCGCCGACCTGAGCAGAGGTATGTTTTTGTGGCGCTCGAAAGTCCAGCCAATCGTTTCATTACCGAACTCTTCGATGACTATTTTAACCTTACGATGACCTACCAGCTAGACAGTGACATTGTCTGGAGTTATGCGGACTTAAAGGATCGAATTGACGAAACAATTGTGCGACCGGTCCGCAGTGGTAATTACAAGTGGAGAGAAGCTGCTTCAGAGAAGGAAAACCCCGAAGATGCGAAACTCCTCGAACTCATTCGAGCCAAGAGAAAGATTGCAGTTTGGTATCGAAGTCACTGCACGACACGTAGCGCTCGGGAAAGCTATGTAGCTGAGCTCGAGAAGCATATGTACCTCGACAAATATGGTGGTTGCTCGCTTAACCCAGGGTGTCCTAAAGAAGGTAACTGCTTCGAGGCCGAGGTCGAACCCAATTACTTCTTCTATTTATCCTTTGAGAATTCGCTCTGCTCCGACTACGTCACTGAGAAATTCTTCAATGCCCTCAGGTAAACATATAATTATGCTATAGTTATATGTGTATACATATAATTTACCTATTTACACACATAACAGGGACATACAACGGTCTATTCGAATTAATTAGACCTTAATTGCTAATGTATATGAATTTATCACCAAGTACATCAAATAAGCTGTACACATTTCTCGTTTAAAAAAAGGCTCCTATTGAAATAACATAGTCAAGACAACACTGGCTTCAATTAGATTAATATTTAAATATGTCCTTGCTTGTACTACAATATGTAGTATTTATATTTTTTTAATAAAAAATAATAATGAAACTATATAATTTGTCCAATATTATTTCAATTAATCAAGCGAAGGTATTAAAATGTTGTACGGCAACCACATAACCTAAAAGTAAATATCACTTTCAAACATGTGGAAATTACGAAAAATAAGTAATAGACTAGGACTACTGTTTCACACGTATTATAAAAACTTGAATGTTTGAAAAACAATTATTATCAAATACAATTTAATTCATCTTTATTTATTATGAATATTTTTGGTTTTCATTTTAAAATAAAGTTTTCCTAATGTAAATAAAATTTAATAATGATAGATTAAATTATATGTTCTTATTGCTTCAAATTAACATTAAAATACATTTTAACTTATTTTAATTTTATTTAAATAAATTCACATAATTTTCATTTATATAAATTTAAATAATTAAATTAACAAATACTAAGAATATAAGAGTATAACAATATAAAAGTAAAATATTGTTTCCAATAATTTTTATAGCCTCAATTTTGTCCAGTATAAAAAACAATTTCTTAAGTAATTGTGATAAATATATATGTATTATAAAATGAATATTTAATATTTCATAAAAAATAAAAACTATACGAAATGTAAAATTTTTTGTAAATTAATATAAATTATTTTAAAAGTATAAATATTAGATAAAAAATGTGCAAATCTATAAAAATTTGAGAACTGTCAATTTTACTTATAATTTAAAATTTATTTAATCGAATATTAAATGATTACTGAAAAATATAATAATATATAATAAAAAATAGCAAATCAGTTCTTATTTATATTTTTTAATGTATGTATTATGTAGAATAAACCATATTAATATAATTGACAGAATAAAAAAAATTCTATATAATTTATAAAGAACTTTTATAAAATCAATTGCTTCTCTTTTTCATTCCAATTAAATTACAAATATTTATTAGTAAGAAAAAAAGTAAGATCAAGATTATTACACCGATGTGGTTTTTATTAAATATTTATTTTGTGTAAAATGTGTATATTACATACTATTATACACTTCTATTATTTTTTTTTAAATATTTGTGAAAGAATAATTAATTGATTCCATGTAATCTATAAAGAATTTTATAATTATTAGTCTCTTTGTTTTATAAATAAATTAATTACAAATTTAATACATTGATAATTAATATAAAAATATCCACTTTTCATACTTATATTTAGATGACTATTATAAGAAATAATACTAATACTTGTTATTATCATGTTTTATTTTAAAGAGTATATAACTAATAATATCTCATCATTTATTACGTTTCAAACAGTTTTTACATTTATTATTTATTATTTATAGAAATAAGTATTCATTTTTTCATTATTACAATAGTATTAATATTTGAAATGTAATCAAAAATAGAATATGCCAATTAAAAGATGTAAGTAATATCACTTAAGGCAAAGTAAATAAAACGGTCAAACCATTATTATTCATTATTATTAATATGCTTATAATATGTTGATGCATATATATAGAATTCTACGTATATCATTACATCGTTTTTTTAATATAAACAGAGGCATATTTACATGTTGTCAGGAATACTATAATGTTATATAAATTTCCTGCTATGTTAAATCGTTACCTATCTTATATTATATCGCCACGTATGTTTTATGATGACGTCTTTATTATTAGCATATACTTTATTTATATAACTCAATGTGTTACTATTATTGACGTGTAAATATCATTCCCTTTATATATAAAAGTACTTGTATTTTATAAATTTAATATTGACATAGTTTTGTTAATATTTCATACTGTATATCATAATCGGTAAGTTTTGAAAATACTATTTTAAAAACACAAACAAAAAATCATTGTATAAAAAATTTCTATTACAAATTATTTTGCTTTTCTACTACGTAGAAATAAATATTTATATCATATTTTACGTTGTATAGAATATTTTAGGATAAATAAATAATTTTTCTCTCTATAATTTAAAAGATTTACTATGTTGATACGTTGATAAAATTAACTACTGTTGATACGTTGATAAAATTAACTACTGTTGATACGTTGATAAAATTAACTACTGTTGATACGTTGATATAAAAGATATATGATTCTAACTACTGTTTATCGGAATATTTAAAAGATATATGATTTAATATAGATACGTTTTTAATATTATATGGTTTTTTATTTTTCTTTTATTAGTTATTAAATATATCAGATTATACTATCTCTCATTTCATTATATTTTATTTTACTAATTGAACATCATAATTTTCCTTCGAACTATACGAATGCATAATATTATTTGATAATAATTTATTGTGCAAAAATTTCATTTAAAATAAATGTTATAAATAATTCAGTTGATGAAAAAACACTAAAATTCATGAAACTAGATTCGTTTAATACAATAAAAAAAGAAATAGACATAAGTATTATTTTCCAAATATTTCAAAGTATATACAATATATATTCTTACTCTATGTTTTTTTTATGCTATGACTTTTTATATTTTAATATTTTCTGTTCAAGCCAAGAAAAATTATAAAATTAAAAAAAATACTAATAGTCAAAGCTTATAATAGAATATTTTATAATTTCAAAAAATTATTGTGCTACCATAAATATTTATTTAATAAAAAATTTTTAAATTAATATATATATAGTTAGTTATAATACGTGACTATATTAAATATATTTTATAGGTATAATGTTGTTCCTGTTGTATACGGCGGAGCATATTATAGTGATTTCGCACCGCCAAAATCGTACATTAATGCTTTGGACTTTGATACTCCAAAAGATTTAGCCAAATACTTAATTCAACTATCTCATAACCTGACTGAGTACAAAACATATTTTGATTGGAAGAAGCAGTATCGCGTTGTTCAACCAAAGCAACGTATTATCTGTGATTTATGTGAAATACTGAATGGGTCTTACAAAGCGACCTATAAAATATCAAAATGGTATAGTATTGATAGATGTCCACTTCAGCGTAAATTAGATAAGCAAAAAAGAAATGGAGATTTGAATTATGCTACGAAAAGAACATTCTTAGTTCGATAATATATACTAATATTAAGAATTTATATTTATTCTTTATAATTAATTTATTGGAAAATAATATAATAATATTAAGAGTTGAAATTTGTTTTATAAAACAATACCTATACTTTTATAACATCTGCAATAGCGTATATTTTTTTCATTTATTACATATTTGTTTTCTCGAAGTTTTTATTTTGGAAACACTGATCCTTATGTACAAGCTTCCATTTACTCAGTTAAAACAAGATACAAGAATATAAAAATTAGGAGAGACAGAAAGAGAGAGAGAGACAGAGAGAGAATGAGGTGTGTGAGAGGTATATAGAACTAATAAATCCTTTGACTTTGTGATTTGTAAGAATTTGCCATGCCCATAATATAAAGTTTTGTACTAATTCTCTTTCACTCTCTCCCCCCTTCCTCCCCCCCCTCTCTCTCTCTCTCTCTCTCTCTCACGCTCTCTCCGAGTTAGTTTAATTCGGATCGATGTGCAATTTTTTTACTCTTATTGCTTGTGCTGTATGCCCGCACATAATTACACTTAATTACGTACAATTAGAATAAGTATATATTGTTTATCAAATAACGTAGCCTGACTTACGTATTTGTAGAAAAACTAAAAATAGAAGTAAAAGTATGACAAAAGTATTTGTATAGAAAATAGTGGAGCAAAATGAATTTTTTAATCTTTTAAAAAGTCTACATCATATCAACTGCTATCATAGAATAAACAATAAATTACTCCTATCTAAAAATAAAATTTATTCAAATATACCTTAATGCAAAAGTAAACTTTAAGATGTCCGATGTATATAACGTTATAGGTTTTCAGAAATTTTGTATAATATGTATAAAAAATACAAATTTACTATTTAAACTCATCTTATTGTTAATTTTTTTTTATCGTTTTAGCAAAGGTTAAAAATTTAGATAAATATATTAACTTAATTGTATTAATTTTATTATTTTATTTTTGCTCTAATAATAAAAATGTATAGTTTAGCTTAAAAAATCAAGATCGAGAATTTAAGATTTTTAAAATAAACTAGAAATAATATGGAAATTATTAACGATGTTGCAAAAAATGCATGAATGAATTTGAAACTTGTCTTAGTTTTTCACACTAAAAATATTAAATAAAAAAATGAATAACATATTGCTTTAAATTTAAACTTTCAGATGTTTTCCTCATGTTGTATAACTTTTATTGAAGAAAGGTAATAAATATATTTGTAGAAAGTGATAATATAGCTGTAACATATTCAACCTTTTACTTTTAATTGTTTGATACAAAGCTACTTAACATAAATCAATTACTGTTTTATTAATTATAGAAAAAATAACACCAATATATACAATTTGAAAAATATTATGTTATATCAAATTTTTTAATATAAAATTCTATGAAAGAAACAAATAAAAATTTGGAACTTTTTTTTATTTCTAATTTAATTAACCTATTCTTTATTTTTTATTTCTTCTATTCACATTCATTATACGCATCTATTTTTAACATTCAATTTGTAATTGAATAATATATATCGTATTATGTAATAACAATAAATTGAAGTTGTCACTAATATATATTCTTGATTATTGTTCTGTGCTTATATCAGGTTATTCAATAATTTCTTAATATTTATATTTGCTTTCGATTTAAAATTATAAATATTGTTATTAAATTAATATTATAGGCGCACGCGTGTGTGTGAGAGAGAGAGAGAAAGAAAGAACAAGAGCGAGTGAAAATTCATTTTAGAAATACTTCATAACATAAAAAATGTTAATATATAATGGAGTTTATTGTTATCTATTTATATTCATTATATGTATAACGTATTTTAACATACTTTTAAATGTAATTAGTTGTATTTATTTGAAAAGTCTAAATCTAACATTTCATCAATATTTCCTACCAATTTTTCCCAATTTTATTGTTTAATATTATTAATAAATAAATTGTATATTTTTTTATTAAAACAATATAACTAATATTTTGATGTTTTTATCTAAATATAATTATTTTTTATTTAATTAGGAAGTTTACAAATATTTTCATATCCAGAAAATTGGTGGATATTGTCAATCATCATTAAGATGAACTTATATAGAATTTTTGTTAGAAAGAAACTTAATTATAATTTTGAATATTAACTTGCTTATAGAAATATGTTGCTTGTAAAATATAATACTTATTCAACTATAAGAGAATATGTATTTGATAGAATATATATATTCTATAGAATAGATGTTATATTTGATTTTAATTATTAGTTTGCACGAATTTTGGAATATTAAACTGTAATTATATTTATTTTATATTGACTTAAATAATAAATTTAATATATGTATATTATTAAAACTATTAGACTTAAATTAAATCAAAGGATTTATGATTATATTCATGTATATAATAAATTTTAATATTATTAACTATTGGCAATATTTTTATTTATTATGATTGTTCTAAATTAAAGTATTTTTTAAATATAATTAAAAAAATTTTAGTTCATTGATTCATATGATAACAAAGACAATTGTACATAATTTCAATTTTTTTATTAAATGAAATTATATGATGCTTTATAATTGTTTACAATAAGATTAAATTAAAATAAGGGGATTATCAATCAAATGAAGAATGAAATTGTTATCATTAAGGAAAAGTAAATTAAATATAATTTAATATTGAACTATATAGAATATTGAATATTCTATATAGATATTTAGAGTTTTTATAATTGATATATTTATTTCTGATGGATAGATAAGTACATATTTTAATGATCATTTATTAAAAATCAATTTAAGACTGATTTATATTTAATTTATTATTAAAATTTATAGCACGTCAGGAATAATAATTGTTTCTATTACTACTTATTCATTAATTACATATAAATAATAAAGTTTAATTGAAATGAAAATAGTATGAAGCAAAAATAGAAAGTCGAAAAAACAAAATATGGTGAACAAAATGTTAACAGAAGGAATAAAGTCAGTAAGATAAATGGATCTAAGAGAAAGAGAAAAGATATGGAGAACGCTATTTGAAGAGATTTATTAACAATAACGAGTCTCTTTCATATTTCGTCAATTTCTCCGAGACTACTATAAGGGAAAAAAAGGAAGATAATTCACGTGCTTTCCTTATGTACTTCTTGCGATTGATCTTAGGATTCTTTACCATTCAGGGATGCAGGGATTATACAAAAAGTGAGTATGGCGAATAGATAGATCTGTTGCTGGTTAAGTCGAATGAGTAGACAACTTGGATTTTGAGAAGAAGAACGCAAAAGAAAGGAATAGAGAAAAACGCATGAACGGGAGAAAAGAAAAAAAAGGGATTTTAAAAAGATAGAAAATTATTCAGCTGAGAATTTATCCGATAGATAAAATTATCTCTTAGATTTATATAAGAGATAAAAGCAGCAAAGAGATTTCAATAAAACCATAGATTGTAAAGTACTGGTAGATAAAAATGACTGCTGATACCAATACATGGATCAGTGGAGCTCAAAGTATGCTATGAATTCATCTCTTGTTCTCATTTATTTTTTTCTCTGAATATCTTATCGTGTTTATAAACGTGACTATAAAGAATACCAAATGTTATATAAGTAAGTAAGCATAAAGACATGATGTAAGACTTTTGAACTTCATTTCCTTTTTTTATACTAATCTAATTTTACTTAAAGATTTTCGCATTAATAAAAAGTAGATATTCATAGATACATTTTTTACATATATTTAATTTCAAAATCTATTCATAACCTAGTGAAATAATAGATAAATTACATTAAAATTTGTGGATCTTGAATGTGCTTAAATGTAAAATAAAGAAGCACCATTTCACTTTTCTACTAAATTTTTGAGCAATTTTTATAAGAATACTTTAATAAATTGGTAATATTATTTTTAAAAAAGATATATATATATATAAACTGATTATTCTGTATTTATTATATAATCATCTCTTAGTTTAATAACATCGTTATTTAATGAGTTCAATAGATTATTTTAAAAGTTATACAGATATGAGATTGAGTACAATATCTTTTACTTAATTATAAGATTCAATGATTTTTTATCTAATAAATATTTTTCTATAAAAAATGTGAAAATTTATTTTAAAGCTAGTGATTTTACTCAATTGCTCTCATAATTTAGCTGTTCATCTCTTTATATAATTATTATATAAAAATACATCATTATTTTATGTTGCCTAGATAACAATATCTAATGAAAATTCATTTTTATTAATTTCAAATAAATGTTATTTTCAATATTTCTAATTATTTAAAAGCCAAGTAGATATATATGGACCATGCAACACAAATGCCCCTGTATTTTATAAATAAATAGTTCATTTTAATTAAGAATACTTATAAAATACTCAGCAAATAATATTTCTTTTATACATATGTTGAATTTATTTCTTGATTGAAATAATTATTTTCATATATACATTCATATGTATGAAATCTAATCTTTTATTTTTAGTTTATTTATTACACTTTTTATCTTATCTTAATTAACTTAATGGCAAGTAAAAATTATTTAGTTATATGAACTACTAAACATATTTACATTATGTAAACTTATCTATTTTTCATGCTCTCTATAAATACGAACTCAGTGGTAATAATAAATCGTAAAAATGGTAATGATAATTTATCTAAATCGATATTGTATGTATTTCATAATGAAATAATAACAATATTAATTCACACCAATCAATATAAAATAAATCAATTATTTTTGTAAAATATTTTTAAAGATGCTGGCCTTGTGTAATTTGATACCTGTAAGAGATCATAATATTAATTTGTCTAGGACGATTGTAATTTAGAGTCGGCTTAATTTTATTATTTTATATCTATGTCAAAATTTATGACGTCATTTACAAATTAAAAAGTATTAAACTGCTTAAGTATGGTATTTAAAAATCCAATAAATGAAATTTCTTAAAGACAACCGGAAATATTCTATTGTAGAAAATAAAATTACTGTTAAACTCAATTATTATTTGAATCAGTGTAGAAAGTTGTATGAAATTTGA